GGTTTTTTGGCATTGTCTTCCTCCCCGCTCAGAGTGGGAGGCGCTGTCGCGGCGACTCCGGGAGCAGCTGGCTGAGAAGCTGTTGGCCGAGCGAAAGGAGGCGGATGGAGAACAGGCACTGAACCGCTAATCCCTTCTCTTCTCATTTCCGCTTCTCACAGGAAGGCACAGGACTTACAAAAATAAGACACACACAAAACAAACACACACGCGCACCTCACGCCACAGGCAAAACACACGGACACGGAGTTTACGACTCCAGCCAACCTCACCTTGGCGTCCTCTGTTTTACCCCTCCAACTATCCCCCTTCCTCTTCTCCTCCACCCCAACATCAGCACTCAGCACCCCCCCCCCCCCCTCCCCCAATCCATCAGCACCCCCCCCCCCTTCCCACACATCCAGCAGACACACACAGTGGAAGCAGTTGAGACTAGCTTGTGTTTGTGTACGCTCCCCTTTGCAACTGGTAAAGCAGCTTCCAGCTTGTCTAATTTGCAGCTCATCTGGGTCTAATCGTTTTAATTTGTTTCTGCTCTTTGCTGACAATTCCAAACGATGTCCTCTTAATCTGGGATGATTTGCTAAATTTTCAACCAGTGATAGTTTTTTCCACCCCCCACCCCCTTTTTTTTTACGCTGGCATGCGGAAGTGGATAACTGCTGGAATCTGTTGAGTCAGTTGCATGCCGGTAATGTGTCTGTTGTAGAAATGTCTTATTTTTATATGATTTCTCACACCAATTTGATTGGGAAACAAGAGCCTTGCCCCAAGTCGTGTTCCTTGTCTGTTCTCGTTGTTGGCTTCTCTATTTTTATTTTTTCATTTGGACTACATGTAGAGTTTGATGCTTCCAGGGCAGTTGAATGAACATCTCATGTAGTTCTCTAAATCCTCCATAATTGGCAAAGCCAGTAGTTGTTAGGGCCGCCCTCACCCTCGCTCTTGGAGACAAACTCTCCTGATGGTACAGCTATTACCTCATTGTTTTGTTTTTTTATCTTTTTTTTGTGTGTGTGTGTGTGTGTGTGTTCCACAGATTGATTGGCAGCTGTTTGTTAAAGAGCTAGAGAGCTTCCCTGTGTGCCCCTCGGTAGCAGTGGACATAAAGCACAGTTGAGCTCACTAGAACGAGACTTTTTTTTTTTCCCCCCCCTTTTTGTTGAGAGGATTTGTGATCTTGCACGGATCAACTTGAAAGCTTACTCGGATCACGAATGGCGTGCTAACTTTGTCCTGTCCCTCCTTTCTCCCTCGCTCCCTCTCAACGACTGTCTTTCAAGGAGGAAGAGGAGAAGGACGGTGAGGAATCAAAGGATGTCTGCACTCCTACTCACTGGACCAAACTTGATCCGAAATCAATGAAGGTAATGTTGTGGTGTCATTCCTTTCATTTGAAATACTAATGAAAAAAAAAATATATTTTCTGTAGCGTTACAATAGTAAACCTGTCGCAGTAATGCATGCTGTTATTTTGGGTCAATTTGGGCAAAGTTAAAGCTGTTTGAATCTCAGGAACGTTTATTAGAATCCATTTCAATCTCATGATGACCAGATTATCTTTTCCTTCAGGAAAAAAAAGTTTCCCCCTGGGGTTTTAAAATACAGGCTTCGAGTGAAATCTTAAAGTCCTAAAATGCATTGAATCCACGACTCTAAAAACAAAGCCGTAATTGACACGAAAATGTCAAACACATAATTAAGGTTAGAGATTGTAAATAGTAGGGTGGGCCAGTGGTTAGCGAGTTGACCTCACAGTGCAAAGGTACCGGGTTCAATTCCAGCTCTGGCCTCCCTGTGTGGAGTTTGCATTTTCTCCCCGGGCCTGCGTGGGTTTTCTCTGGGTACTCCGGTTTCCTCCCACATTCCAAAAACATGCATGGCAGGCTGATTGAACACTCAAAATTGTCCCTCGGTGTGAGTGTGAGCATGGATGATTGTTCGTCTCTGTGTGCCTTGTGATTGGCTGGCAACCTGTTCAGGGTGTCCCCTATCCCCGAAGACAGCTGGGATAGGCTCCAGCACCCCTCGTGACCTTTGTGAGGATAAGCGGATAAGAAAATGGATGGATGGATGGATTGTAAATAGTCTCAAACATCAATAAATACTATCATATCGTGGTCGGATAATTTGTATTTGCAAGCTACACTCTGAGTCAGACTTCCAGCTGGACCGTGGTTTCACTCATTTTGAGCTTTGCTATATTGAAGCCCAGTTTCACCTCATTCGGCGCACTTGTTTTTGTGACTGCTGTAACAGGTGGACTGGTACATTGCCTCGCCACGTTACTTGGTAAAAGGGATTCTTGTTTTGCGTCGGCGGCATATCTTAAAGCTTGTAAAGTCAATTTTTGTACCCCTCTTTGACTTTCCCTCTTGCAACGCTCCCCTGCAGGTCAACGACCTGCGCAAAGAGCTCGACTGTCGCGCTCTGAGCTCCAAGGGCTTAAAGTCGCAGCTGATCGCCCGACTCACCAAGCAGCTGAAGGTGGAGGAGCAGCTGGAGGAGTCCAAGGAACCCGAGAAGCCAGAAATCAAACCGCCCGAGGAAGAAGAGCCGCTCCGCACCGAGGAGGACAAAGAGGTACCCGAGGCGTTCCACCGCTTAACCGCGCTGAGTCGCGATAAGAAGTTTGCGCTGACGAAACGCCGTCCCCCTTCTCTCGTAGGAGGAGGAAAGGAAGAGGCAAGAGGAGCTCGAGCGCCAGCGCCGAGAACGGCGCTACATCCTCCCAGATGAGCCCACCATCCTCGTTCACCCCAATTGGGCCGCCAAGAACGGCAAGTTTGACTGCAGCGTGATGTCCCTCAGTGTACTGTTGGACTACAGGCTGGAGGACAATAAGGAGACCTCTTTTGAGGTGAGAATGACAAGCTATTCTCTTTATAGTGAACCCATGGACATTCCTTTTATTTGCCTTTTCTGTTGGTTGTTTTGTCTCGGCCCAAAGAATGTTTTTTTTAAAAAATGGCGCCATCTGCTGACATCTTGGTGGTAAGGCACCATGTTGAGTTTTAGTCAGGTCATATATGGTTCATTGGAAACCTTTTTGGGTGGGCGTTAATGACTTTTCGCTGTCCGCGGCAGGGCTCAGGCCGCCGCCTCTGCGAATTTTAGCCGATCAGAGGCAGCGTGTTTGTCGATGGTTGACCCACGGCAATCCTGTCCTCCAGGTTTCCCTCTTCGCCGAGCTGTTCAACGAGATGCTGCAGAGGGATTTCGGTTACCGCATTTACAAAGCCCTCGCTGCCATCCCCGTCAAGGATGAAAAGAAGGAAAAGGAGAAGAAGGTCAAAAAAGAAGCCGAGAAGAAGGAGCTGGAAAAGAGGGAAATAAAGAAGGAGAAAGAGGAAGACGGCGACGAGCCAGCAGCGAAGAAATCAAGAGAGGACGACGAGGTCGAGAGGAGGAAGGTGCGTCACGAATACCTGGCGCTCGTATGAAGGATTTTTTTGTTTTTAACAACACGCCTTTGATTTGTGTGCGCGAGCAGACCGACGACAAGGTGGTGAAAAAGGAGGAGTCACGTGACGAGGACGAGAACGAAGATGACGGCAGCACGGCCAACGCAGAGGAGTACGACCCGATGGAGGCCGAAGATGCAGATGAAGATGACGACGACGATGGTAATTGCGCTTTTTCTTCATATCGACACGCCGCCATGTCTCATTCACAAAAATTCTGGCCAATGATGAGAAATCATGCACCACTCTGAATTTGTGATGGATTCCATTTCCACTTTTTCTGAGGCTTTTTTCCTGTTGAATTTAATTTCGGACATCACATTTAGTATGTTCAGTTCTACACATTTCAATTTCTTGTTTTTTTTTTTTTTTGTTTTTTTTTTTTAGACAAGGATGACAACGACGACAGGGACAGAAGAGATCGCAAAGATGATCGCAAATCGCCAAAAGACAAGAATTTAAAGGACAAGGTAGGCGGCTTCATTTTGCACTGCTTTAAATGGGTATGGAAGGAAAATTTTCACTATTTAAAGCCAGGCGTGACCAGCTGTTTTTGATATTTTCCATAAAGTAGAAATGACAGTTGCAGTAAAGGCAGAATATATATATTTTTTTAACCAGCAGGACAAGAAGCAGATGATCACGCACAACAAGGAGCTACTGATGGCGTTTGTTTACTTTGATCAAAGTCACTGGGGCTACCTACTGGAGAAAGACTTGGAGGAAATCTTGTATACGCTTGGACTGCACCTTTCGCGTGCCCAGGTGAGCCAAAAAACATTTCTGTTTGGCCGCCGCACACGCAAGTCTGTCCCCCTAATGTCTCTTTTTTTGTTGCCGTTTTCAGATCAAGAAACTGCTGAACAAGCCGGTCGTGAGAGAGTCGTGCCATTACCGAAAACTAACCGACAGGCCAAAGGACGAGCCCGATTTCTCCCCCACTGAAGTCCAAGTGGAGAATCCCTTAGGTGAGCGCGTTCGCGACGCTTACCGCACAAGAGTTACGAAGTTATAAAGTGCCATATTCAACGCGTCTTCTTCCCGTCAGGCAACAGAGATCTACTCCCTGCTCCCAAGTGGATTGCACGCTCGGAAACCAGCGAATCCAGCACGCTGATCGTGTACAACGGCGCCATGGTGGACATTGGCAGCCTGATGCAGAAGTTGGAGAAGAGCGAGAAGGCGCGCGAGGAGATCGAACACAAGCTCATGGTGCAGGACGCCAAGATGGGTAAATACTTGAGCCGTTTGGTTTTTTTTAGTCACACATGTCACAAACTACACTCTCCGTCAGACCTCCAGCTGGACTACGGTTTGCCTCAATTTGAGCTTTCCCACGCTGAAGCCCAGTTCCACCCCAATGCGCATTCTCGTTTGCGTGACTGCTCCGATAGGTGGACTGGCACATTGTCGAACTATGTGACCTGCTAATTAAACTGACTTGATGCATCACCGCTAACTTAGACTCATTCCGATTATTTGTAAACATAAGACGAAAAGAAGCCTTTTATGTATGTTTTGAAATGTCCTCGTCAACTGTCACGCCAGAGGAAGACGCCATGGTGAAAGCGCAACTGGAACAAGACAACAGGTGCTTGACAAAGGAGCTGGATGAGACGACAAGCACCCTGAGGCAAACGGAAAAAACACTGAAGGACGCCGAGGAGCAGACTTGCATCTACCACGAGCAGCTCACCAAGACCTGCAAGGCTCTGACAGATACGGTGAAAGGGCTGACGGCGGTGATGAGAAAGGTAGTGGTCGTAGAAGCCAGTTGTGTGTTGACTTTTAAGCGAGATTTCGTCTTGAAATTGAAAATTGGTAGAAATCTGATGGTGGAAAGTTTCACTTTGTAAATTGGAAGTGATTGGGAAGATATGCTTCCATACTCCAGGCATTTTGTGAACCAACAATCAATCCCTTGTAATTTTACCTTGCAATAAATAAAAAGCATGGCTAAGTGAAATGTACGCATTTAATTTAGAAAATTTAATGGTGTCAAATTAGAAGTTGCCTGAAATATGAATAGCAAATTAACTTGCAAACATGTGACATATTTATACTTCATCACAAGACTTGTTGTAACGAGCACCAAACTGATTTTGTGCAAAAACGGGATGCAATCTTATTTGTTGTTCTCTCCCCCGCCAGGATCAAGATGAAAATGACAAGGAGAAAAGCGTGCCGCTTCAAATGAATGGCGCCAAAGAACCAGCCACCTCTTAAATCAGCGGTTGGGAACATGCTACCCTTGGGCCAATATACATGACCGGCCCGCCATGCAATGCTAAAAACGGATAAAACCTCAGAGGAACTGATAGGAAAAGCTCCCAAAACTTTAAATCCACAAATACTTGTCAAGTCCACAAATCTGTTTGATTGTTGACATGAAAAGACCCCCCGCCCCCTACATTTTGCATGGCCCATGGTGGGTAAAAGGTTCTCGACTGCTGTAATAACTGATCTAAAATACTCATTGTCTTCACTTGTAAATATTCACAAAGCGATTTTTATTGTTTGGACCTTGTCTCAACTCCCTTTGTGGGTTTAGTCATAAATTAGTTCCTTTATTGACCTGTGTACATATTTGTTTTTTTTTTGTTTTTTTACCATACTTTGTTTATGAGCTCACTTTCTATTTTTTTCCGTTTGTTGTGCCAGTTTGTGTGATAGTTGTGCTATTAAGAGATTTAGGTTTTTTTTCTAATAGGCAATGCCGAGCTAATTTATGTGCAAGAGAATTTCTAACGAATTATATTTAAACGACGATAACTTTGGATTCAACAAGGGTCATCCTGACTTGCCTTGTAAATAAGATGTCATCCACTGTTGAATAAACAGTTTTTTGTTTGTTTTCGGTATTTTCCCGCGTTGATTTCACCTTCTGGGGTGTTTTTGGCCAGACGACAAATGTCCTCAATAAGAATGCCTTGCAATACCACTTCTTTTCAGCAGAGGGAGGCACTTGCTAAAAGTGTGACATGGCGTGTGACCTCTTCTTTCTAACATCTATTTGATTTTGAAGATCTGTTGACAGTTTAGCTTCAACACGGAGCATCAACTGGTTAAGAATGTGACCCGTGACTGAAAGGCCCCAGGCGCTCGATTCCTCTCATGATGTGCCCTTCAGCGAGACATCAATCTCCCTCCAGGCTCCTGGAAAGATTTCCACTGCTGCAGCGAACCACCAATTGTGAGTGCCTGTCATACTTGGTTCACTTTATGATGAAGAGGTTGCTTTTTAACCCCACCCCCACCCCACCCTTGAAGAAATCTGTCATAAGGTTTGTACACACTTCGATTTATAATGCACCGTTATGCGCTTAGTTTATAAGCCATGTGATAAACTTCTGCCTGGTAAAATATTGTATAGCCAGACCCAGATGAATTTTAAAGGCTGCTTTATGTCAAATGTCGTACTCCTTTCATCTTTTGTTACTGTCATCACCTGTATACTGGACAGTACACTCTCTGAATCCATTCTTAACCAGTCAAGCACTTGCAAGGGCTCCTTGAGTGAAAACACAAAAATCTGTTTGTACTGTTTTCACACTTGTGTGTGTGCTTGCTTTTTGAGAAGCAATGCACTTCATTTTATAACATTGTAAATCACTGAACTGCAACATGCCAGGAACTCCCAGTCACTATCTGGGGGCCATTCCGGGGATGATTTCACACCATCTATCAGGAATATTATCCTCATGCTTGGAGGAACAAGATTACGGGTGTGGCCAGACACGACTGGGTTGGGGACTATCAATCATACTGTCGTAAAGCAGGGTGGGAGTGTTGCATCTCTTTTTAACTTTTGAACCTTTTTGCTCCTATTTATGCCTTCTGATACGTTGCCATAAATTACCACAATGTTAACTGCAACGAAGACCCAATACTTGCACTCTACACAATAAAATGCTCAATTTGACTAACCCTATCGCAGAATTGGATTTTAGACCCATCTCATGAAGCTTATTATTGCGGTTGAGGTTTACAATGGTTAACCTATTAGGGATGGGCGAGTACCGATATCGGCCTTATTTTAAGGTGTCAGGAAAAGCCTACTAGAACATCTGAACTTCATTTGGGTTTGGTCAGAGCCACTAAAATGGTGGCAGGTGTGTGCCGACTCACAATTAACAAGTTTGAATGTGACTGGTTCATTGAGAAACGCTCCATTCTCAGTTATAAGGGTGCGCACACTTGTGAAACCACATTATCCCAATTTTTTCACTCTTACTTTTTTTTTCTCAATTGATTTGTACTCGTTATTCATTGGGGAAGAATTTTTTTCAACGCGATAAATTAATAATCGTTTCATAATGATTCCTCTTGGATTTTACTTTGAAAATGGCACGGTGGCTCGCATCAAACGCTCCCCCAGACTGCAGGTTCCCCCATTCCAATTTGAATCTCTCACATTGCTGTAGAATGGTGTGAATGTAGCGGCCTGCAAATTCCTTGTTTAAAAGGGCACAGGAAGCATCTCTGTGCAGCGCCTGCAGCTTGTCTGTGTCATTTCCTTGAGAACAATGTGGATCTGTCACGCGGCCCTTTGCTTATGTGACTGCTTTTGTCTTACTGCTGAGCACCGAGTAGTTGACAAACAAACCTCATTTGTTCCCCTCCGAGGAACACACAGAGCGTTTGCACTTGTGAGCTTAATGCGTATGCATGCGACGTGTGAAATTCAAGGCCGGTGCAGCGAGCGGGCCAGGTAAAGCCCGCACCCCAGGCTGCAACAGAAGCCCTTTGTGGGGTAGGGGGGGCCCTTATATCAAAGGCCTTGTGGTCTCGCAGGCTGACAATCAGCTCATTTCAATGCGGGGTCACATTCACCAGACAAGGTTAGTTTAAAAAAAAAAAAAAAAGAGGAGGAAAAGGGAGTGGGGAAACAACTGATCAACTTTTAGTTCGTTTTTTTTTTTTTTTTTTTTTTTTTTTTTTTGCTCAGAATTAAGCGTCAGTGTTGCCGTGCTAATATCATCTGCCACTGCGTTGGTTCAACCTCAAACCCTCGTGTCGTCTTCCCTTATGTCCATTCTCATCACTCAGCACTTTGCCTCATCACTCTCTTTCATGATCAGCCCCCCCCCCCCCCCCCAACCTACGTGCGTGTCAAAAGTTCAGAGTTGTACTTACCATGACAAAGCCGACCCCCCATCCCTCACACAAAACCCGCTGTGTTGCCTTTTCAACTCTGTCTCAGGACTTGGGTGTTTAGTAGCCCACACAATTGTCTCAGGTCAACCCGCCCACTATTTGGACAACATAGGAAACTAATCTTGGGCCACATGAGGCAGAACAGAACACGTTTGTTTATGTACAGCGTCTGAATTAAGGGCTGCATACATAAGATTTTTTTTTCACTGAAAAGGGATGAAGGCAAAGTGTCTTTTTTAAAAAATGTTTTTTTTGGACTGATATTTTCTAAAATGACAGTGTAGTCAATTCTGTGGAAATGCAGCTTGAGCATATCAAGTGTTCATTCTAGGTTTGCGTCTTGATAATACTCGCTCAGGTCGCTGTGTAATAGCGTGTTTAAAGAAAAATTGACTTTTCTACATCAAAATGAACCCATGAACTACTGATGTTGTCACTTAAATGCAGCTCCCCTTTTCCCGGAATTTGGAGTCTCCTCTTCTAAGAAGACAAGTTTTACTTTTCATGTTCACAGGTAGACCCGTTACTGCTTCTCAAAGGTGTTCCGCAGGGTTCTGTACTTGGTCCCACATTTTTCCCAATATTTACATCTCTCTCGAAATAAACCCTCATGAACTCATTCTGGCAAATTGCTGCTTGTTAAAATGACCGCCCTACCATTTCTAGATCACCTTTAAAAACTGCTCCAAAAGCTTGATGCCGTATCCAGTATCACAGTCCCAACTGGTTTGTCTCCGGTGCGCCCTTTGACCCCTTTCACTGTGAACTATCCTACCCAGTTAATTAGTCCTCTCTTCAGCCACACAGGCAAATTCGCCGGTCGATGTTCATCTGTAAAACTCTCAAGATCCCAACTTTATCTTTTCAATTAAAACCAAAAGAAAGTCCACACATTAGTGGTTGGGGACAAAAATCACCACGGAATGGTGTTTAATTGTAAAACACGCAAGGGATCCTTTGCCGTCCATAAATCTCCTTCTCACTCTTTGTTCACCGGGAGAGGTTTGCCAGAAATTCCCTCGGTCGCCACAATCAAACAAACAAGTCAACCACCCTCTTCGGGCCTGTTTGGTATTTCAGGTAATTGATACATAAGAGGCTCCTTTTGCGGGTCCCTCATGGCTGAGTGCACCAAGAGAGAGGGGCCCCTGTTCGTAGCGAGGACCTCACCGCAAGAAACTTACTTCCTGTGCAGTGGCACTGCAAAGCGGTGTTGTCGAGGAAGCGATTCCCCCCCCCCACCCCCTGCCTGCCCTCCACGATAACCTCCCCCCCGGCCGCGCTGTGTCGTCGTCATCATCTATGAATGATGAGACGCTTCCTTCGCTTGGCAAGTTAATGCAACGGTACACCGCTGCATCCCTAACTGAAGTGTGTTTTTGCAAAGTGGATGCAAACATGGGCCAAAACAAGCTTGCATATACGTTCTCGTGACAGTTGAGTCGGAAGTTGGACCAAATGTTTATTCCTGAGCTAGCGGTGAGAAAATCTGCTTTGCTCAGCGGGGTTCTGGGTTCAAAGCTCAGTTTAGTTTGCATGTTCTCCCCGTGTTACCCATCCATGACCCCGATGATAAGTGCTCGAAAATGGATGGAATTCCTTCTCAATTGTCCAAACAGGCCCTCATGATTGCAAGCTTTAATGTATTGTTTCCCTTTTTCTGCTTCCTGTGACATGGATGCATCACTTCCTCGCTCTGTGTAGCTTAAGTGCAAGCACGTAGTCACCTTGGCAAAAAGGAAGCACATTAGTCCTCACTCGTCTTGCCTGCGTACATTCATATTTTGTTCAGGTACTCCAGCCCGTGCTATTTTTGTGTCGCTATGTCTATAGCGCGCCTCACTAACGAAGCACATATGCGGTGCTTTTTTTTAGTCACATGACCATGAAGGTCTTCAAAGCCCATTAAGGATTCTGTTCCCTTTAGCTAGAGTCTGCCCGCATCCCTAATTTGGGGCTCGGTGAGATATTGCAGCCTGCAAAGACGACCTTCAGTAGCTGTTTGAAACTGATTTGAGCCATTTGGTTTTGGCTTAAACGCAAAAACTAGCAAAAGGACAATGTTCCTGATTATACTTGCATTGAATATGCAGGAGGTACAATTTGTGCAGATAGACGTGTTTTCCGAATTGGCAAAAAAAGAAAAAAAGTTTTGTTCTGACCAACCAATCACAGGACTCTTATTATACCGCATGCTATTATTTTGAAGGCATCTTGACGGGATGTGTTTGGGGTATTAAGGGTCCTCCCTGCAGTGCTCCATAAAGTCACGAGAAAGTCGTCACATGGGACCGCTTAAGCCACTCGTCCATTACGGCTCAGTGGCCCCGTGTTTGAGTCGTCGCACCTGTAAACACTAAAAAAATGAAGCCTCATTTTGGACATCCAGATTAGCCCGAAAGCTACATAACTGATTACCACCGCTTATGCCGTATTTTCCTCAAAATCTGGATGAAGGCGCAACCATTCATTTGAAGTGGAAACTGCCAGAAACAAATTGCGCCACCCGAAGAGCGCGTCTCTATCTTAAACGCAAAAACTAGCAAAAGGACAATGTTCCTGATTATACTTGCATTGAATATGCAGGAGGTATAATTTGTGCCAATAGACGTGTTTTCTGAATTGGCAAAAAAAAAAGTTTTGCTCTGACCAACCAATCACAGGACTCTTATTATACTGCATGCTTTTATTTTGAAGGC